TCCTAAACTGAACCCTGAACCCTGAACCCTAAATCCTAAAGTCCTAAAGCCCCTAAATTCTAGGAACTCCCCTAAGCCTTGAACTCCTAAAACCCCTAAACCCTAAACCCTAAACCCTAAACCCCTTGAACTCCAAAACCCCAAGACCCTTAGCTCCAAAACCCCAAAACCCTAAATCTGAGAGAGGAATGCTACCTCCTCGACCTCCCGTCTGCAGCTCCCAGAAGGTTTTGTTCTAAGGGCCAGGCATTTGGGTTTAGGGTTTTTTGGTAATGCTAGTTCGTGCTTTGTTGCGTTTCGGTTTTGGATAATTTTCTGAGTGACTAAACATGGACTTTGGGAGGAGTTGTATAGGGGTCTTCCGGGTTAAGCAGTGGGTTTCTATCTAGAGTTTTTGTTTAAAGAGGCAGTACAGTGGCTAGCGCTTGTCAGAGAGAGTCCTCGCCGGTTTTGGGAGATGAGATTTGTGTGAATAACCCTAAACCCTGAAGCCCTTAAACCCTAAAGCCCTAAACCCTTCAACCCTAGAGCCCTAAACCCTAAACTCTAAAGTTTGGGTTGCAATTTCCGGTTTTGGGGGTTTCGGATCGGCCGTCGACCGGGGATCACACTCTTGGGTCTGGCACTCCTTGGAGGTTGTAGGCTAGGTTCCCCAGTAGTACCCTTTTGTCCTTTTTCTTTTTGGGCTCCCCTATTAGGGTTTAGGGTTTAGGGTTTAGGAAGCCAAATAGTAGGAACATGGGTACCCTTATTATTAAGGGCTACTGGGGAACCTAGTGGGGTTCGAGATACACGTAGCCAGGAGGCAGGGTTTTGAAAGGCAAACTTACTGGGAGGATCAAGGGACTTACAGTATCAGGTCGGGGTATGAGTGCCTGCATCAGGGCTGTAGGCAGGTATGCACTAGTATGGTTACCTTACTCCCCTGTTCCTTCAAGCAGAGAGGATTAACATAGGGGCCTTCATAATTAGAATAGGGTTTGGGGGCCCATTATGCTATATTCATAATAAGGACCCTCCCTCCAAAAAATAATATTCTAATTATTAAGGCTCCTATATTAAGTGGCGAGTGCGAGGGACCCCTAGAAGGGACCCCTAATCCAAATACCCTATCTAACCCTTATATATCCCTTATATATCCCTTATATAGTCTCATAAAGCCCCTATGTAACCCCAAGGGTCCCTTCAAGGGTTCCTCCTTTAGTCCCTAGACAGCCTACACCCTGAACCCTAAACCCCAAACCCTAAATCCTGAGCCCTAAACCCTAAACCCTAAACCTCCTTTAGTCCCTTAAGGGTTAGAGTTCGGGGTCCAGCCCGTTCTGTTTTTCATGTCGCAGTCCCGGGCGTCGCAAAACCATGCTTTGGGGTTCCAAGCCACGCCCTGAACCTTAAGGGTTAAGGGTTTAGGGCTTAGGGTTTAGGGCTTAGGGTTTAGGGTTTCGAGTTTAGGGTTTACAGCTCGGGTTTAGGGTTCTGGGTGTAGAGTTTAAGGTTTAAAGCTTAGGGTTTAGGGTGCTGGGTTTAGAGTTTAGGGTTTAGGGCTTCGGGTTTAGGTCTTAGGGTTTAGGGTTTAGGTTATTAAGCCATGCAGTCTGAGCCCAGTGCACCCTCAAGCCGGGACGATGGAGCGGATGAGATTCTAAGGCACTGTTTTCCGTTCTTCCGCTGGTTCCTTTGACTCTCGTCGCCAACGAGGCAAGATGGATCCTCGCAACATGGAAGGCGCAGGGGAGTCCTTCTGAAGTGCCTACTTGAATGGCTTTTTCATTTCCATCCCCTCCGACTGCTGCTCCTGCCACTGCCACTGATACTGCTGCCCCTACTGCGTCAGTGATGCGCCTCCTCCTCTTCTTCCTCCTCCTCCTACTACTACGACATTGACTGCTACTACTCCTATGACGGCTACTATGACTACTGCGACTGCTACGATTACTATTGCTGCTACTACTACTATTATTATTATTACTACTACTACTACGACGACGACTACGACGACGACGACGACGACGACTACTACTACTAATACGACGACGACGACGACGACGATGACGACGACGACTGCTACGACGACTACTACTACCTCTACGACTACGACGACAACGACGACTACGACGACAACGACGACGCTGCTACTGCTACTGCTACTGCTACTGCTACTGCTACTGCTACTACTACTACTACTACTACTACTACTACTACTACTAGCCTTCTCCTACTTCAGTCCTACTTCGACTTCACACTGGTACAGAGAAAGCAAAGAAAACAGAATCCCAACTCTGACCCTTAAATGCCCAACCCCAAGGCCTAAACCGCAAACCCTGATCCTGAAACCCTCAACCGAAAACCCTCCACCCACAAACCCTAAACCTCGAGCTAGAAGCACCGTCAGGCTATGATACTTGTATTTCTATCAACGAACTACTTACTGAGTCCCCCCCCCCCCCATTGTGTGCAAGGCTCATGAGACCGTCCATGTGTTGATCTGGTCGACCGCCGGGTTGCGTGTCCTCACCTTTCTCACCTGCGCCGTCTCTTGGTGTTCAGACATTTGGGTAGTTCTCTAAATTAGGGTCATTTTTTAGGCCCCAATATAGTACGGCACCCTTATAAAAAGGACCCCCAAAAGGGACCCTAATTTTGAAAACTACCCATGTAGAGTTTGCAAGGGTTCTAGGCTTTAGTGTTAAGGATTACCATACTTGAATACTTTTTTTGGGACCTGTTCCTTAGGGGAACCAGTATGAAATACGTGCCTCTCGCAAGCTCCATAGGAGTGTAGTATAGGGTAACTTTCATAAGGATTCGCTTGACGGTTCTATGAGGCTTTAGGGCTTAGTCGTAGAGGTCTCACAGTCACAGCCCAACCCCCTCTTGGTCACAGTTGTCGTTTGTTTTTTATACGGATTCTACTGAGGTTCCATGCGATTTATAGGGTTGTGTAACGTTCTCCATACGGTTCTATACAGGTCTCGTGTTAGGGATCCTTTTTTTTCTTGTGGTTTAGGGTTTAGGGTTTAGGGTTTTGGGTTTAGGGTTTAGGGTTTAGGGCTTGGTGTTCCTAATCTGTTTGTAATACCGGAGCCCATTGAAAGCCCTAATCTCTTATCCCTAAATCCTTTCAAAACGAGAGCCTTAAGTATATCTCTTTTATCTCCTTTCCAACAGAGACCAAGGCATCGGCAGTGTCCTTTGCGCACTTGGCATGGAAGCCAACAGAAGACCTCGAGAGCTCTTGCCGCGCTGTACATTGGAGCACCCTGGGTGCTTGCTTCCTTTGTGCTCCCTTCTCACTTGCCTGCAGCCTAACTCGCGCCCGAAGTCCGGCCAGCAGGGAGAACGCTCCCTGTGAGAGGGTGGCGGAAAGCAACACGGTAGAGACGGCAGAGCTCAATCTACCGAGTTGAGAGGCCCCATGGACTTGCAGCTCGCCTCTATCCCCTTCACGGACGCTTACTCCGACATGACCAGCTGGTCGACGAGCTGTGCGGCTGCAGCCGCAGATAGCCAAAGACTCATGTCAAGACCCCGAGCTGCTGTCGTTCAGCTGGCACTCCAGGACGACCTGATCCACAGCTTGCACTTGGAGGATCATGGGACTTAGTAAGTAGGGGTACAAGTAAGGTATCTATGGTTATATCTATTTATAACCTTATTTAGGGTACTTATAACCCTACTTACTAAGCCCCCTGATCCTCTAAGCAAGCGGGACAGACTGCAGTCGCTTATGCTCCCGAAGCCTGGATGCAGCTTGAGCGGTTGGGTGCGGGCGTGATGTGCATCTCAGCTAGGAGAAACCTTAGGGACGAAAAGAGCCCTAAAAGGGTTCAGGGTTCATTTACCATGTAAGAGGTTCATAGTATAAGGGAATAGGGCCCCTACCGGTTCTTTTCGTCCTTAAGGAAGAGAGTTTTCATTTCAACCGACGACACCGCTTTGCAAGAAAGAGGCTTCCTTGTCTGAGATGGAAAACTCAACTGAGGAATGGGTAACCCCAGTGCGAAGTACCGTACTCCGTCCCCAGGTTCTCCACGCCCTAGACCCTAAACCCTAAACCCTAAACCCCTAAAGGACTGCCTGCCGCCGTGACACTTTCACCAGCCATGCTGGGGTGAGGTCCTGGTGTTCGCATAGAAGGAAAACCCTTCGGCTTTAGGGTTTAGGGTTTAGGCCCTACAAGAAAAAAACCCTAAAACCCCTACGACGTTGATCTCATATAGAAGCCTGAATGACTAGTATTGCTGCATTCCTGAAACCCTGCGCCCCCGCCAAAAAAGAAATCCTAAACCCTGAATCCTCAGGGGTCCTTATTATAACCATACTAGAATATACCCCGAAACCTGATCTAACCCTAAACCCTAAACCCTAAACCCTAAAAAGGTCCCTACATTCTTTTAGGATCTTCTTGATGTAGGTTCGGGGAAGGCCAAGGGGGTTCAGAGCTGTGCAGTTCAGGGTTTAGGGTTTAGGGTTTAGGGTTTAGGGTTTAGGGTTTAGAGTCTGAACCCACAAACCCTGAACCCCGGGGCCTCCGGTATGCCATGATTGTCCCGTGGAATCAGAGCTGTTTTGTCTGCAGATTGCTTACTTGGAGGATCATGGGACTTAGTAAGGTTATAAGTCCCTTAATTGGGGTTAGAAGTATAGTTACCTTAGTTATAACCCTACTTACTAAGTCAGACGATCCTTTAAGTAGGGGGCTCTTCAGTTGAAAAGCTTCGGGTTTAGGATGTTTGTCCCACCGTCCTGGCGATGTTTACTGTACCTCAGCTGCGTGGTGCAGCTGATCTCCTGCGCCCCGTGGGGCACGTCCTTCCGGCTCAGGGATGGTGGCTCGAATTTTTCCAGTGCTGGGTCATTCTGTGAATCAAGGCCCCCGTTTAAAGTCCCCAAGTACATCACTGTTGCGACTTATATTCGCAAGTAGATCTGTTCTTTCAATATAGGTTGGGTTTTAGAGTTTGTAGTTGGGGGTACATGGCTCATTGCATAGACTGTAGAGTTGAGCCCTACGTTCAAATCCTCCGGCCCTAAACCCTAAACTGGTGAAGTACCGGAGTTCTTGTGTAGGAACTCGGCTTAAACCTAAGGGTCCATGTACTCAAATAGTAGATACTTTGGCCCCACAGTACCCAAATAGGGACTACTTTACGGCCAAAGTATCTATTAATTTGGGAACATGGACCCTTAGGGTAAGGTTTAGTAAGGGTTTCGGCTTTGGGCTTCGGCCATCCGGATGTAGGACTGGGTGCCTTTAGGATTTGGGCTCTAGAGCTTTGGTTTAGGGTCGAGGTGTTTCGGGTTTAGGGGTTCCAGGCTTCGGGTGTAGGGTTGGGGTTTGAGCCTTAAGCCTTAAACCGTAAGCACAAATCAGGGTTCCCTAAACCCTAAACCCTAAACCCTAAACCCTAAACCCTAAACCCTAAACCCTAAACCCTAAACCCTAAACCCTAAACCCAACCCTAAACCTTTTGGGTTTGCAAAACTGTTGTCGGTGAGCCGAGATTGAGCTGCCACAGTCGGAGGAAGGCTGTTGACAGCTTCGCTCCAACTAGGTTGGGTTTAGGGTTTAGGGGGTTCGCCCAATTTTCATAACAAACAACTCGGTTAAAACAACTGTAAAGAGTGTTTTTTGCCTCGTCAACTGCCTATAGAGCCCCATCCACCCCTTGCCGAAGCCAGCCGAGGTGAATTCATGCAGCCCATGGGGACCTCTTCCTCGCGAGCTCGGCAACCCTCCACCATCACGGCCCAAGGCCATTGGAAATTAAGGGTTTAGGGTAAGGGCTGTAGGGCTGCCATCATAATCCCGTTTGGTCTCTAACTCATCTAGCTTATGGTTTTGGGGCGTGTGGGGTGTAGTGTTTAGGGCGTAAGGTTCTCTATGAACGTCTGAACATTTAGTAATAGCATTCCTTCGGTTTCCTTCTTATACAGCAGCATGCCCAAAGATGGGTTTAGGAAAACCCTAAACCCTAAAACCTAAAAACCTAAAAACCTAAACCCCCCAAGCCCTAAACCCGAGTACACCCGAAAGGCCAGCTGGTGGCTGGTGCTTGGGCGACCAGCGTGGATAACCTTCGGGAGAAGCTTTCCTACAACCTCCCGGTGGGAGAGTGGAAGAACAGGTCGGGACTTCGAGGGTTTAGGGTTTAGGGTCTGGGGTTGGGAACCCTAAACTCTATACCCAGAAGTTGGGGGATTAAGGAAACCCTGAACCCTAGAACCCTAAACCCTTAAACCCTAAACCCTGAACCCTAGACCATCTTAAACCCTAACCCTAAACCCTAGACCCTCCTAACCCCTAAACCCTGAACCCTAGACCCTCTTAAACCCTGAGCCCTCAACCCTCTTAAACCCTAAACCCTGAACCCTCGACCCTCTTAAACCCTTAAACCCTAAACCCTGAACCCTAGACCCTCAACCCTGGACCCCAAGAGGACGACAAAGCCCTGGGCCATGCGGCCCCTCAGGGACGGTCGCGTGGCCTTGGTGGCCTTGTCCTCGAGGACGGGCTGCCACTCTGTCTTCCTCTGCGACTTGGCTTCAGGGTTTAGGGTTTAGGGTTTAGGGTTTACGGCTCTGTCTTCCTCTGCGACTTGGCTTCAGGGTTTGGGGATCTTGGGTTCAGGGTTTAGGGTTTCCCAGACCCCCAAAAGGAGCTAGAAAATAGATCCCCTAAGGGGGTTCCTATAAAGTACCCTTTAGTAGTTAGGGTCTCTAATTAGGGGA